TTATAACAATAAGTAACAGTAATAATGATGATGTTAAAAATAATGATAATGATGAAAATAAAAATGATAATAATTATCATAATAGTAATAATGATAATGATGATGATTATAAAATAAATGAGATAATGATAACAGTAGCAGTAATAATAATGCTGGTATTAATGATGATAAGAATAACAATTATATAGATAATAATTTTGATAATAATAATGACAGTAATGACAATAACAATGGTGAAAAGAACATACTAATAATACAATAATATTAATAATAATGATAACTAGGATGAGAGAAAAATAATATATAAAATAACAACAACAAAGAATAATAATGATAACCAAAATGATAATGATAATAATAATAATGATAATAAAAAGGAATAATAAGAACAATTATATCAATAATGAAAATTTAACATTAACATTAATGATAATACTGATAATAATAACAACAATTATATTAACAATGATGACAATAATAATCATAATAATAACAATAATGGTAATAAGGGTGACACAAATAATAAAAATAAAAATAATAACTAGAACAAAATTGATAATAATACAAATTGAAATAATAATAATAACAATAATAAAGGTATTGATAATAATGATGATGTTGATAATATTAATGATAACAACAACAACAATAATAATAGTAATAATGCAAAAAAAATATAGTAAAAATAATGCTAAGAAGATAATATTAATGAAAATGATAACGAAAATAATGACAAAAAAAAATTAATAATGATAATAAAATTTTGAAAAATTATTATAATAACATCAAAAGAATATAATAATACTATAATGAAAATTGTGATGATCGTGATAATAATAATGATACTGATAATTATGAAAATAAAAACAACAACAACAACTGTAGTGGATAATCAAAACTCCGTAGAGTTAAAGATGTTAATTTGGTAGCGTGTTTATCCGACTATAGGTAATCTCCAATGGGTTTGGCGTATTTCGGAGATGACTCTCGGGTGATTTGAAAGTGATCCCGTAGTCACAATAAAAAAACACTAAAAAGAACATCACTGGCTGACTAAAAAGGCAACATAAAAAGAGCATCCATATTATACATTTATTACGCACAAAACTTTCTGAACATAACCAATATACATGACAACACACCATACACTTACTTGATACACAGAGGCAACCCGCCACAGCAGGAGAAGCACCAGTCAGCCAGCTAAAAATCCAACGATCTGTCACCACACAAGATAAAGCCTCCCCCTCTGACCGTCCTGGCTTGCCCTTTTATGCTGGTGGCTTCCCGCGCTTGGTGAGGTTTTACCCATAATGCCTTTCGTTTAATTTATTAAATAGTGTATGGCGAGTTAAAAATAATCTTTAAAATACATAAAATAAAAAGAATAATAAAACTATACAAAAATGGGCACATAAAATAAATAATAGACAGGAAAGTACGAAAACGTGAAAGAAGGGATCCGTGAGGGAAAACGGGAAAACACGAAGAGAGACAGAGCTGAGGTGAATTAGTCGAAGGAAAAAGGCAAGAATAAGACAAGGTAAGTATGGAACATAAGGTAAGTACAAGTAGTGTTATGTATAGTAGAAGTAGTGTAGATGTAGATGTAGATCACGGACCAACGAAAGGTAAGTCAAAGAGTATAAAACACAGGTTTATTCTTATAAAGATAAAAGCAGATAAACACAGGAAAAAACAGGAAAACCACGTCATCTTGCAGGGCGGAGGAGTCCGTAGATTATCTATAGACAACCGTAACGTCAGGGGAACAGGCGGCCCGGAAACCTGCGGGAGGACCCGCCTGAAGCCAAGGGAAATTCACTACAACAACAATAATAATAATAATAACAACAACGAAAATACAAAAATTATAATAAAGGGCAAAATAATATCAAGAATACAAATGAAATAATGATAATTACAATAGTAATAATAATAAAAAAACAATGATAATGATCATAATAATAATAGTGATAACATCAACAACAATAATAATAATAGTAATAATAATAATAAAATTAATAATAATAATAATAATAATAATAATAATAATAATAACAATTATCCCGGGACCGTAGGAATACTGGCTTGGTACCCAGCGGGGTGATAGTCTGTTACCATACTCTATACCGGCTGGCCCGGCGGAAGAACATACATGTCAACGGCGTGGAAGGTGGTGCGGCGCACTTTAGAATGAGGGATATGTTGGGAAGATGCGGGTTGGGACAGCTCTGCCCCAGAGCCGGTCTTCACTCTCCATTCTGAAGTGGCCACAATGAATAATGGCCAGGACAGGGTCGTAAGCCTTGGTCGGCAACAGTCCTATGAGAAGGAAAACTCAGAGAAATAAACAAACCGCAGTCATAAATACCAGGTTGACGTCTGGCGGGATATAGCTGTCTCGTGGTCAGGGGTGGATCTTTAACCTTGGTTGGCAGCTCCCCTAGAGTTGGTGTCTCAATAAAAATACTAGAGAAGGAAAACCTTACACAAACCACCCTCATATGAGTGTTATGTTAAATCAAATCAGTGAGAATAACGGTGTTAATGGGACCGGAATTTTATGTGAAGGAGCCTCACCCGGCAGGTGTTCTCCGGCACAGCAACGGAGACCAGGCTGTTATCAAACAACTGCTAAGAGAAAGTGGACAAAAGAGTTGAATACTGTTGTGATGGAATGTTACTTCCTAAGTGACCCTGTAGATGAAAATGATAAACCCATTAGAGGTTATAGACAAAGAATGCACAGAGCATGGAAAGAAAAGGGCGTGTTTGAAATAAGTGACCAGGCTAGAATGATTAAAAAAAAAAAAAAAAATGGCTTTCAATGGGGGAGATTCAAATGAAAAAAAGGTCTGTTCTTGCAGATCTTAATGAAAATAATGGTAAGAGACCTGGTGAGGAGGAGGGAGCAAGGCTTGAAAACATCTAGGATAATGTACAACCTGAGAATTGGGAAAAGATAACCCGAGTTGTGAACGTTGAAGGTAGATCGGAGGAACAGCGTGCAATTATACAGGGAATTGTTGATATAATGGAGGGTGATGAACTCGAGTTCATACCCGGATTCAAGAAAGTAGAAAGAAGAAAACAAAAGAAACTGGCAGCTGATGTAAATGAAATTATAGGGGATATACAAAGAGACACGATTACAGACACTAATAAAATTCTGAATGTCATATCAATGTACTGTGCAAGAAAGATAAAGTTGAAAAAAAAAACCCTGCAGAGATGAAAGGTAAATCTAATGAGCCTCGGTGGAAAAATAGAATAAGATTAATGAAACCCGGAGAGATTTAAACATTCTTGAGAGAAGGCAAAAAGGGGGAAAAATTAACAAAGGGAAGTTACTGCAAGTGGAAGGGAAGTATAAGGTTAAAAACAAAGGCATGAATTATGTTATAGAAGAGTTAAAACAGAGACTGCAGGCTAAGGTCTTCAAACTGAAGCAGTACGAGCAGAGAATCAACCAATATTGGGCAAACAGACTGTTCCAACTGGACAAGAAAAAAGTATATCAACTTACCGGAAAAGAAAAAAGAGGTGATACAGTGCCTGATGCTGAAGAAAGTAAACAGTTTTGGTCTAATATTTGGTCAAAGAACGAGGCACATAACAGTAAGGCTGAGTGGTCGATAGCATTGAGAGAGGAAAAGGGGGAGTACCAACAAAATAACATACAGATAACTGAATACATGATCAAACATGCTTTCAAAAAGCTACCGAACTGGAAAGCCCCTGGGCCTGATGAAGTCCAGGGATACTGGTTTTAAGAACATGCCCTCCTTCCATAACCGTATTGCCACCCAAATGAATGATTTGATTAATAATGGGGCACCTGTACTTGAATGGATGACAAAAGGAAGGGCTCTCCACTGTCTGAAAGATCCAACAAAGGGTAACGAGGTTGGAGATTTCCGCCCTATCTCATGCTTACCATTGATGTGGAAATTGTTAACAAGTGTATTGGCAGATAACATATATAGTTATCTGGAAGAGCTGGGTATCTTACCAGATGAGCATAAAGGTTGCAGGAGAAAAAGTAGAGGGACAAAAGACCAGTTGTTTATTGACAAAACGATCCTTAGGAACTGCAAAAAGAGAAACAAAAACCTAGCAATGGCTTGGGTGGACTACAAAAAAGCGTATGACTTGATACCACATTCATGGATTATTAAATGCATGAAATTTGTCAACATCGCAGAGAATATTTTAAACTTCATTGTAGGGTTTATGGCAACATGGAAAATTGAATTAACCGCTCGCGGGAAGTCCTTAGGGGAAGTTGATATAAGACGAGGTATATTTCAGGGAGACAGCCTTTCGCCTTTGTTGTTTGTAATTTGCATGATGCCCATTTCTCGTGTGTTGAAAAAATGGCACCAGGATATACACTGGGGGATGTAAAAATCAATTATTTGCTTTTTATGGATGACCTGAAATTATGAAAGAGGAAAAATTATGAAAACACAGAGAATAAGACAAGACGATGAAAACGTGATAGGGGAAATTGATGAAGGAGGCTACAAATATCTCGGTATTCTTGAATCAAGTAGTGGTCACGAAAGTAAATTGAAAGAAAAATTCAGGAAGTAATATTTACGAAGAACAAAGTAAGGGTAAGGGTACAATCGAATTTGAATGGTCGGAACAAGGTCAGTGCCATAAATACCTGGGCTGTTTCACTAATGTGGTATGGGGCAGGAGTCATAAACTGGAGAAAGGATGAATTAAAGGAAATAGATAGACGAACTAGGAAATTGATGACTGTGAATAAGGCCCTAAACCTTAAAAGCGATGTAGCCAGGTTGTCCGTGAAAATAAAAGAAGGTGGAAGAGGATTAATAAGCGTGGGAAACTGCATAAAGGAGGAAGAAAATAATTTAGCTTGGTACTTTCAAAATAGTAATGAAGAGATGTTACAAACGGTTAGAATTCATGGGGATTTGAAAACAGAAGAAAGTGAAGAGCCTATAAACCTTTCAAGAAAAAACAGCATGGAGAAACTTTACAGGGAATGGCAGGGTAAGAGATTGCATGGGCAGTTTGTAAGAGACAATGAGGGGGTAGATTGGGGAAAGACTTGGGGATGGCTAAGCAAAGGTGACCTTAAGGCAACTACGGAAGCCTTGATATGCAGTGCACAAGAACAAGCACTCCGAACAAAATATATCAAATATAATATTGACAAAACGGTGGAATCACCGTTATGTAGAATGTGCTCACAGGAAGGAGAAAGTGTTAGTCACATAGTAAGTGAATGTTCGAAACTTGCCCAAAGAGAATATAAGGGCAGACATGATAATACGGCACGGTATGTACACTAGAAAATAAGTGAAAAAGCGAATATTGAACGAGGCAAGGAGTAGTACACTCATAAACCTTAGGCTTGTATTGAGAATGAAGAACATCAAATCCTTTGGGATATGATGATACAATGTGATCAACATATTGAAGGTAGGAAGCCAGATATTGTATATCTAAACAAAAAGAAAAAAGAAGCGAAAATAATCGACATCGCCATTCCGGGTGACACAAGAGTAAAGGAAAAGAAACCGAAAAAAAACGAAAAGTATCAGCCATTAAAAGATGAGATCGCCAGGCTTTGGAAGTGGAAAAAGTTCAAAATTATACCCGTTGTAATCGGTGCTCCAGGAGTTGTAAGCAAGAAATCGGAAGGGTACATTAAAGAGTGTGATGAAGGTATCCGGTTGGAAATAATAATAATAAAAAATACAACTGCTGGGACTTCTAGGATCCTTAGAAAGTATTGGCAGCAGAAGGAGAAGGACAAGCTTGAAACCTGTGAGGACTTGTTGTCACCTGCTACAACCGAGCATAAGAACTAGGCCTTGTGAAGAAAACTATAATAGTAATAATGATAATAATAATGATAATAATAATAATAATAATAACAGTAATAATAACAACAATGACAATGATAATATCAGGAATAATATTAGTAATGATAATAATAATAAATAACAGTAATGGAAAATACTAAAAATAACAATAATAATCATAGTTATAAAAATACTAACAAAAATCATAATAGTATTAACAATAATAATAATAATAATAATGATAATGATAATAACAGTGATAATAGTAATAATAGTAATTATAATGATAATAATAATAATAATAATGATAATAATAATAATAATAATAATAATGATAATAAAAAGAAAAAATGCAATAATAATGTTAATAGTAATAATAAACTTATTAGCAATGATAAGAATAATAAAAAGGCAAAAATAAATGATGTTCTAATCATCTTCATCATCGTCATAATTATTGTTATCAATAAAAGATAAATATAATAATTAGGATGACAATATCAATGAAAACTTAATGATAATATTAACAATGTTAATGATGAAAATCATAAATTATATTAATGTTGAAATTAATAATAATAACAATAATAATAGTTAGAAAAGGGAAAAAAGGAAAAATAAAGATAATAATAGTAATAATAGAAATAATAATAATGATAATAATAACAATAGTAATCATTGTTATTATTATTATTATTATTATTATTATTATTAATATCATAATTATTATTATAACATTAATAATAATAATGATGAAAATAATAAAAATAGTGATGATGATAATAAACATAATCATAATGATAATTATAGTAACAAAAATTATATTATTAATAATAGCTTAAAAAATAATATTAATTATAATGACAATAATAATAATGAGAAGAATAAGAATAAGAATGAATATAATAATAATGATAATTTTAATAGTAATAATCTGGAACTATTGATGATGAAGATAACAATAATGGTGATAATGAAGATAACAATAATGGTGATAATGAAAATAGCAATAATAATGACTATAATAATAACGATAACATATATAACAATAATATGAAATCTAATGACTATAATAATAACGATAACATATATAGCAATAATATGAAATCTAACAATGATAATCTTCATAATAATAATTATGCTGGTAGCAATAATAATGATGAAAATGTTGATGATACAAATAATAGTAATAATAACAATAATAGTGAAAATAATCGTAATAATAATGATAATAAAAAAATAATAATAATGATAATAAAAAAAAATAATGATAATGATGATATTGATAATAAAATAATGATAATAATAATAATAATAATAGTAATACAAAAAATGATAATAATAATAATAATAATAATAATAGATATAATAATAACGACAATTCTAAACGATAACCGTGATAATAATTATGATAACTATAATGATAGCAAATATACGATCAATGATAATAATGGCAATACTACATCTACTAATAATGGTAATATGAATAATAACACTAATAATAATAGTAATGGTAATGACAGTATCAAAAAAGTAATAGTAATTATAATAATGATAATCAAATTGATAATAGCAATAAAATTGACAAGAATAATAATCACAGTAATAATAATAATACCATGATTTGTATATAATGACAACAATTATAATAATATTAAATACAATATCAATGATAATAATAACAACAATAATAACAGACATATTACCAATATTCATAATGACAATTAGATGAATTATGATAATTATGGAAACAAGAATGATAGTATTAATAGTAATAATATTAATAGGAAGAACAAAAATGACGATGATAATACAAATACCAAATAATATATGTAACAAATAACAAAACGACAACAACACTGACTATAACAATAATAATGATAATTAGAATAATTATGATAATAGTGTTGATAATTAGGATGATAATATCAATAATAAAATCATGATGATAACAGTAACAATTACAACAATAATATTATAACTCTAATAATCTCAACAATAACAATAGTAATAAAGATAATATTAGTTATAACAAAAATAATACAAATAAGGATAGTGATATCATTAATATTAGAACCAATGTCAATAATATTAGTGATAACAATAATTACATTATCAACAATAATGTTAAAAATAACGATGTTATCAATAATGATAATAACAATGATTATAATAGTAAAATTAGTAACGATAATAATAATAATAACTATAGTAATATTAATATACATAATAATGATAATAATAACATATAATAACATTAGTAATAATAACAATAATAATGATAATGATAATAATAATAATAACAGTCATCATCATCATCAGGTCCCATCTTCGATACGAAGGTTGGGAACTATGGTACTCCATCCATCTCTGTTCTCAGCTTTTCTTTTCACATCACCCCAGTTACTGCTACTACTCCATTCCTTCACATCCTGTGTCCACGATCTTCTTGGTCTACCTCTTGGTCTCGTTCCTTCCAGAATTCCTTCAATAGTGATCTTCTGTATGGTATTTCCCTTTTCTCTGATTTTATGTCCTGCATACCTCATTTTTCTTCTGGCAAATTCATTGGCCCATCGTTCCTTGATGTTTAGTCTCTGCAATATATCTTCATTTTTTATGTGAACAGTATATTGGATCTTCAACATTCTCCTATAGCACCACATTTCTATAGCATCGATCTTCTTCATTACTTCTTTCGTGTGTGTCCATGTTTCACTTCCATAACTCATAACAGACTTCACGTAGCAGTTTAGTAGTTTCTTTTTCAAAGTCATACTGATATTCCTTCTCATGAAATCTTTACACTTCCAAAATGCATTTTTCGCAATTGCCATTCTTCTTCTGACATCTTTGATGTTCTTACTGTCTTCTGAAATGTAGCTTCCCAGATATACATATCCGTTTACTTGTTCAAGATTTTCTCCCTTTATTTTTATGCTAATTTGCTTTGATTTTTTTTCTTTTTTGATAATCATCACTTTTGTCTTCCTTCCATTGATTCCCATATCATAGTTGTCACACGCTTTTACTAATTTGTCCATCATTCTCTGAAGTCTTTCTTCTGAGTCCGAAATCACTACTGTATCATCTGCATATCTTATTGTTGTTATACTTTTTCCATTAATCTGTATTCCCTCTTCTTCTAAAGTCTTCTGTATTATTTTCTCACTGTAAAGATTGAACAATAGTATGCATCCCTGTCTTACACCTCTCTGTACTTTCACTTGATCTGATATTTCATTGTGGAACTTGATGTCTGCTGTTTGTTTCCAGTAGATGTTAGCAATAAGTCGTCTTTCATGGAATGGAATCTCTGCTTTCTCTAGGATTTCCAGAAGTTTGTTATGCCGGACCCTATCAAATGCTTTGGTGTAATCTATGAATCATATATAGAGCATCTTTCCTTTGTCTATCATTTTTTCTCCTATCAGTCTAAGAAGATGTATTGCGTCCCTAGTTCCTTTTCCTTTTCTGAATCCATATTGACTTTCAGTAAGGTTCCTTTCAATGATGGGTGTAATTCTGCTTTTTATCAACTGTAGTAGTATTTTGCAGATATGAGGTATAATGCTGATGGTTTGGTATTCCTCACATTTTTTTTGCATAGGTTACTTTTGGTATAGGTATATATGTGCTTTTCAAAAATTCTTCCGGTATTTCACCTGTTTGATAAATTTTGTTCATTATAGATATTACTAGTGTTATTCCCTTCTGACCTAAAGCTTGTAGTAATTCCGCTGGTACATTGTCGATCGTTGTCTTTCCTTTTGATAAATTTTTGATGATGTTTTCAACCTCCGATTCCATTATTGGTCACAGTGTTTCTCCTTGATAGTTCTTAACTCCTGCTCCTTGTCTGCTTGGGTCACAATGTAGCTCTTCAATATATTCCTGCCACCTAATTAACATGTCACTCATATTTTGTAGCATCTTTCCATTCTTGTCCAAGATGTTAGATCTCACTTGCGTTTTGTTGCTGCGCAGTTCTTTTATTTTGTTGTACAGTTTTGGAGAATGCTTTTTATCAAGTTCTTCTTGCTCTTTGCATTTTTCTGCATAGAATCTTTCTTTCTCTTCCCTACACAATTTTTGTACTTTATTTTTCAGTAATTTGTATTGTTGTTTATTGCCTTCATTTTCGCTGTTTTTCTTTCATTCATCATATCGAGAATTTCTACTGTCATCCATGATTGCTTTGCTTCATAACCGATGTTACCATATATTCTTTCTGCAACCTCTTCTATACATTCTTTGAGTGTGTTCCAACTATTTATGTTTTGTTCTTCAATAATAACAGTACTAATGATGATAATAATAGTAACAATTATAATAAAAATTAAAAACATTAATAATAATCATTATCATCATCCATAACCATGATAATCATAACAATAACAACAACAACAATAAGAGTAATAACAATGGTAATGATAGAAAAGGCAATAATAATATAAATAAGACAATAATAATGAGAAAATAATAATTAGGATATTTGTACTACTAACAATAATAAGAAGAAGAGAAAGAAGAACAAGAAAGAAGAGAAAAAAATAATGATAATAATAACAATAACAATCAAAATAGTATTAATACTAATAATATTAATGACAAGAATAAGAACAATGAGTTGAAAAATCTTGAAAATGGAAATGATGATAATGATAATAATAAAAACGTTGGTATTACTGTGAATAACAATAATGAAAAACTGACTTGAATAATATTATTATACATTATTTATGGTAATAACGAAAAAATATATAATTATTACCCATGGAAATGACAAAAATATAATTATCATTTATGATAATAATAATGATAATAAGGATAAAATTATAATAATAACAATAACTATGATCATTACATTAGTAATAATAATGATAATAATAACAATGACAATAATAGTAATGATGTAACAATAATAATGATAATGATGTATCAATATTACTACTACCACTAAGAGTAATAATGATAATAATAATAACGATAATAATGATAATGAT